AAGGGCCAAAACTTGAAATTCTCTCTTTATCTCTATGTTGCAACCTATACTCTCTCTCTCTACACTTCCTAAACCAATATTGGAGCTCTCTTTGCTGAGATTATTGAGTCCAAATTTCATCCATTGAGAGTGAGAACTTGTTGGTTTGTGAACAAAAGTGTTATTCCTTTTCAAGAGTTATAACTACTAGCTCATTTACACTACTTTTTTCCTATATTTTCTTGCTATTCTTAAACTATTTTTCAACTATTTTTATGGGCTAAAACTTGTGGTTTAAAGCTACCAAAGGTGGAGGGGTTAACCACTCTTCTTTGAACCTTGTCCTCTAAGCTTTTGCCCTTATGTTTTCCATCTATTCATCAACTTTTTTTTGAGATTTTTACCACTGATTTTCAGAGGTTTTCAGAGGCTAAAAATGTTGTTTTGAGGTCCCAAAAATGAAGGGGTTAACCACCTCTCTTTATGCTTGTTTACTAGCTCAAAAGCACCATTATTTTAGCTTGCTTTTTTAGTTATTTCCACTTCAATTCCAGCACTGTTTTAGTGTATATTAGGACTAACATCTCTCTCATTCCAGCACTGCTGTGCTTAATGGTTTAATCCATTTGGAGGTTCATTACCAACGGCATGGCATCTCTCTCATGCCTAAAACAACATTTGGTTTGATGCTCCTTTCCATTAGTGGACTTAAAGCTCACCTTTGGACTTAATTTACTAAGGAATGGTTGGAAATTAAAATGGAGTAATAAAATTGAGGACTAAAAATGATGCAAGATAATAACTTGGTTAGGGTTCAATCGGACGTTAATTGAACCCTTAAGTCTTGAGTCGTTTCATACTCATTAGTGATGAAAACGGTTCAAGAGTCATTGTCAACCACTTCCCATGATCATCCATGATAGGAATGAGGTTTGAGAGTCTTTATTTGTTGCATTTATTGAACTTGCACATTTTGGTTCATAGGCCATCATGCAATGAAATTGCATCCATTGATGGTTTGTGAATCAAATTTATTACTCCTTTGAGTTGTTTGATGATAAAGAAGGGTAAGTTGTGCAAACAATCCTTGAGAATACGTTGTATTGTGCACTGTTTGCTCTCTGTTGCAGTAGAAAGAACCAGGGAGCAGTGGCCGGCAAGCCACCACTTCTAGCATTTCGGCCACCTTTGCAAAATCCAACAGTGATTTGTTGAAACAGAACAAAGTTGGTTCTAAGGTAGAAATCAGTGCAGATGGTCTAACTGTGCAACAGAGGCTTCCTGGCAGCAGAACAGTGGATGGAAATCCGCGCGCATGCATAAGCATTCCTCGCTTCCCGGGGCTGCTTAATCTAATTACTTAGCTTATATATTTGTTGTAATTAATTAGTTGTAACTAGTTAATTTTGTAAAGTGTTGTAAATAATTAGTTAGCTAGACTAGTTATTTAATTTTGTCCTGTAATAATTAGTTAATTAGCTAGAATAATTTATTAATTTGTTGTTGTAATAATTAGTTAAGTAGCTTAGCTAATTTATTCATTTCGTTTTGTAATAGTTAGTTAATTCGTAGTAATTAGCCTAACTAATTAGTTTATTTGGACCCTCCGCATGAGGGCGCAAATCTTGTAATAATGTGTATGTCTTCCAACCCCACGCCTTTCTCTCTTTTATTTACTAGCTTATGATGGTTAGTTTAGGGCATCATGTTTTGGTTAGCATACCTTATGTATGCATCCACTTGTATTACGTGCATCGAGGCTTGGTTCATCATTCTAACTTGCATTGTAATTGCTTACACTTCTTTGAATACGTGCTTAGGCCGCATGCCATCCAATTGATTCATATGCCACAGTAGTAGCCGAGCCTATTTATATTGCATATCGCATGTGTTGCATTAGTCATATTGTGACAACCCCCACCACTGTTTACTGATAATACCACTGATTACTGTTAAACTGTGACTGAACATGATTAAGTAACTGATTTGACTGACATTCTGAACTGATTGATTGAATGTATTAGTTTAATCGCATTTCTATCTGTTTGACTGTTAATTGATTTGTTCATGTTTTAAGTGTCGAACTGTGAATTAAAGGCCTTATCGGCGACCGAATCTGAAATATATTAGTGTTTGATGTTAATTAGAATTTATGTGATTTTATGGTATTTTTAATTGAAATTTGATTTGGTATGATTAAATTGGATTAAATAGTGTTGAATTACATTAGTTGCATTAATTACCAAAGTATCATCTATTGGGCCACTTTTATTAACATCTTGAGGCTCAATTCATACACTTAGACATACCATTTCATCATCTCTTCCATTTCACTAGACCCAACCGAAAAAGAGAGAGAGAAATAGGTGACAACTTGAGTTCTTCAAAATTGGCTTGGAAAATTAGAAGAGTTGAAGGAAATTTGTACACTTAAGCTTCCATTCTTGAAATTGAAGACATAAGATAGGATATTCATCTTCTTGATTGTGAATTCTAGTTGTACCTTGCATGGTTAATGAGTCTTTAGTGATCTAAGTCTAGAATTGGTTCTAACATGTTGAATTATGGCTTAATTCATGCATGCATATACATGTTCTAGTATTTTAAGATTGTTTTCATGGAAATTGCTACATGCATGTCCATATCTTGATTATAGTTCATGAATTCATCATGTTTTCGAAGTTTTGACTCATTTGATTATGCATTGGAAGCTTTGATTTCAATTGAACACTTGCATGTTACATATACATTATGTTCATGAAGTTTTGTGTGGATTTGTGTTTAATTGAACTACCTTTGAGCTTTGATTTTGCAAATTGATCTTTGAAACATGTCATATTATGAGTTTTAAAGTGTTTTCCAGAAAATTAACCCAAAATGATCGAATTTGATGATTTAAATGTTGAGTTTCATGCTTGACAAATCTGGAAATTCCAGATTTTGGATACACGCTCGAGCGTACACTCTGAGTACATGCATCCCGCTTGAGCGGGGAAAATAACGCTCGAGCGTGAAATGTGTATATCCAGTACTTTGCATGTGTTTACAGTTCGCTCGAGCGAGGGAATGCACGCTCGAGCGAGGACTTGTGTCTCATGCTCGAGCGAAGGTCAAGCTCCCATCGAGTGTGATTTTTGTGCATCCAGTACTTTTGCCTGAGTTTGCAGTCCGCTTGAGCGGGGAAAGTCATGCTCGAGCGGAGATCCTTTGTCTGCATGTCCGCTCGAGCGTAGAAAGCCACGCTCGAGCGAGACCCCTATTTTCTGAAAATTTTGAAAAGTGTTTTAAAGTGCATCTTTGCATCCTTATTTCATCCTAGGCATTCCTAGGCCTAGTTTAAGGCATCTTAATGAGGTTATTGATGTAGAACCACATCGAGTCAAGATAAGGATTAAGTCATTGATTCCCAAGTGTGTAACTTAGTGTGTGTTCGTTCTGTAACTGTGTAGGGTTGGCATCTGAGGACGCTCACTAGTTGCTATTAGCCCAGTGCTCTGTGAGTAACAATGTTGTAAAGATATGTTCAATCATGAATATTTTCTGATGATCTACTATACCGCTTTCTGAAATGATATTTCTTACTGAATGAATGATGTCCTATTGATAAACTGTACTCGTGGTATCCATAGCAACTTACTATTACTGTACTGCTACTGTCACAGAGATCTCTGTCGGTTCCCATGTTTGGAACCACTACTATTTACTATTATGATGGCCATCAACTGACTGTTCGGTCTATTAAGACCTACTGTACTGTTTGCTATTGGATGTACCACTTATGACTGCTATGATCGAATAGCTGATATACTGCTCAAATGACTGTTTAATGACTGAAAGGACATTCATTTTTAACCTCTTTACACAACTTTTATTCACTGGGTTTTAGCTCACTGTTTATATATATATATATGTAGGTGTCCAGGCACCGGATTGGAGCTAGGAGCGTTGGGTTTAACTCCCTTTTTGTCAAGCCAACCACTGTGCCTCACTGAGAGGTTCCAAGTCCTTCAAGCTAGGGCTTTTTGGGGTGTTTTAGACTCATCATTTCTGTCTCTGTTTTTGTATAGACGGACTGTACCTGTACTGTACTGTTCTAATAAGGATTAGGTCCCTGTCCTAGATGATTGTATATGTATGTATATACTATTTTGGTTCTGAATGTGAATATGTATGAAAAGTTTTTTTTGCATACAAACTGTCACAGCTCATTGGACATCTTTTATTACTGTTTTGGCTTCTGCCAGCCCATGTACTCTGTATTACTGTTATTACTATTAAGCAGGCCTTCGGTAATCACGAATTACTGGCCGGTTACGGTCCTAAACCCATAGGGGTGGGTTTGGGTCGTGACAGAGTGGTATCAGAGAGATATTAAACCACGAGTTATACCGCACACACGTGTCCAAATGAGCTATAGGATGTCCTAGAAAAGTGAATAGGGCATTGCATGAGCATTGAAAAAGTGTGTGTGGCTATGACATGAATATATGTGTTAATATGTTTAAGGTATGTAACTGCCTATGTTTATTATTGTCATAATTGGCTATAGTGAAATGGAGAATGCAAAAACTACTAATGAAACTGAATCATCTGACGCCAGAATGGCGAGATTAGAAAGAACAGTTGAACTGCTGACTGAGGCCTTAAGGCAACAACAGAACCAGCAGCCCCCACCTCCTCCGATACAGTCGGAACCGAATGTGAATGATGACATAATTGCTCTAACACAGAAGTTTAGTAAAATGAAACCGCCATCATTCCAAGAAGGCCTTGAACCATTAAAGGCCGAAGCCTGGGTAACAGAGAAATTATTTGAAGTGTTTCTGTGTTCTGAAGCACACAAGGTCCTATTGGCCACTTTTACTTTGCAAGAGGAGGCCAGAAGGTGGTGGATGCTGGTCCGCGACACCAATACTGCTATGAATTAGGCTCAGTTTAAGGGAGCCTTCTTTGAGAAATACTTTCCTCAGTGTGTTAGGGACCGCAAAGTGACTGAGTTTGAACAACTGAAACAATGCACCATGTCAATAGCAGAGTATGAATCTCAATTCACTGAACTCGCCAGATATGCACCACACATGGTTGATATTGATTACAAAGAGGCCAAGAAGTTTGAAGGCGGCCTTAATGTTGAAATACTTGACAGGATAAATGTTCTGAAGTTACTGAAATACGTGGATGTTCTTGACCAAGCAATAATGGCTGAGTCGAACATCGAGGCATTAAAACAGACTGAAACACTAGCGACTGAATGGCACAGTAAGAGACGGGGTTTTAAATTTAAGAAAGGCCCGAACAACCCATTGAATAAAAAACAAAATACAGTGTCAACAACCAGTTCCAGTCAGAGAAATAGTTCCATACCGCCCTGTTCTGAATGTGGTAAGAAGCATAAAGGGATCTGTTATAAATTTTCAGGTGCTTGTTACAGGTGTGGCAAGGTGGGCTACATGGTCAAAGATTGCCCTTCTGCTCCTCGGGGCAATAGTAAAGTTGCAGCCAGCGCCGCAGCATCAACTGTTGCACCGAAACCAAATCCGAAAGCTACCGAAAAAGAGCCTATGAGGCAAGGCCGAGTGTTTGCACTCGTACTGGGAGATGTACAGAATACTGAGACCGTTGTGTTAGGTATACTCTCTATTTGTGCTCAAAATGCTTATGTTCTGATTGATTCGGGGTCTATACATTCATATGTATCGCATGCTTTTTTGCGAAAATTAAATAGACCACTCGAACCTATGAACTATCTGTTAGCTGTATCTTCCCCTGTTGGAGGATCTATGACTTGTGCTTATATGTACCCTGCATGTGAAATTATTGTTGGGGATGTTCATTTGTATATTGATTTACTGCCTTTCAATATTGATCACTTTGATGTGATATTGGGAATGGACTGGTTAACGAAATATCATGCTACCATAGACTGTGTAACAAAGCGAGTTGTTTTCCGTCCACCTAGACTGCTTGAATTTGTGTTTAACGGAGTTAGAGTAGTACCTCCCCCATATCTGATTTCATCCATGAAAGCTTTTAAACTGATTAAAAAAGGGTGTAAAGGGTATCTGTGTTGTGTATTGACTGTACCTACTGATGCTAAAACTGATGTGAACAGTATTCCTATAGTCAGAGAATTCCCAGATGTTTTTCCAGATGATTTGTCAGGGGATTTGATTGATAGGGAGATTGAATTCACCATTGATATGATTTCGGGTACACAGCCAGTATCTAAAGCTCCTTACAGATTGGCACCGACTGAATTGAAAGAGTTGAAAGTTCAGTTGCAAGAACTGTTAGATAAGAAGTTCATCAGGCCCAGTACTTCATCGTGGGGCGTGCCGGTCTTATTTGTGAAAAAGAAAGACGGCTCATTGAGACTCTGCATTGATTACCATGAACTGAACAAGGTAACAGTGAAAAATAAATATCCATTGTCTCGTATTGATGATTTATTTGACCAGTTACAGGGTGCCCAAGTGTTCTCCAAAATTGACTTTAGATCTGGATACCACCAGTTGAAAGTCAAGACAGGGGACATTGAAAAGACTGCCTTTCGAACGAGGTACGGACATTATGAATTCTTAGTTATACCTTTCGGAGTTACCAATGCACCTGCTGCATTTATGGATCTTATGAACAGAATTTTCAAACCATTCCTAGATGAATTTGTAGTTGTTTTCATAGATGACATTTTGATTTATTCCAAAAGCACGGAAGAACATGAACATCATTTGAGAATTGCCTTGCAGACCCTAAGAGAACAGAAACTATATGCTAAACTGACAAAATGTGAATTTTGGCTTGATAATGTAATGTTTTTGGGGCATGTGATCAATAAAGATGGTATTACAGTTGACCCGCAGAAAATTGAAGCAGTAGTGAATTGGCCCAGACCGTCTAATGTTACAGAAGTTCAAAGTTTCTTAGGCTTAGTCGGGTATTACAGGAGATTTGTGAAAGACTTCTCCAAGATTGCCTTACCATTGACTCAGTTGACTCAAAAGGGGATATCATTTGACTGAACTGATCAGAGAGAATTACCTTTTCAAGAGTTAAAGACTCGACTTGTGACTGCACCGATCCTTACCCTACTCTCAGGTATGGATGGTTTTACCATATTTAGTGATACTTCTTATAAGGGTTTGTTATGTGTTTTAATGCAGAATGGTAAAGTGATTGCGTATGCTTCCCGACAACTGAGACCGCATGAAAAGAACTACCCAACCCATGACTTGGAACTTGCTGTAGTAGTGTTTGCACTGAAAATCTGGCGTTACTACCTTTATGGGGTGACATGCGAGGTGTATACAGACCACAAGAGTTTGAAATACTTCTTCACACAGAAAGAACTGAACATGAGACAACGGAGATGGTTAGAACTGATAAAAGATTATGACTTGCAAATTTTGTATCATCCAGGGAAAGCTAACACCGTTGCTGATGCACTCAGCCGGAAGTCAATTGGAAATTTAGCCTGTTTACTCACCGGACAAAAAGAATTGCTAGGTGACCTTGAAATATTTGAAGTTGAGATTGTTTTGCGCGAACAAGGTGGAACCTTAGCCGCTATTTCTGCTCAACCGGCACTGATTGAGGAAATTAAAGAAAAACAGCAACAGGATGACTTCTTGAAGAAGATCATTGATGAACGAGAATCTAGACCGAGGCCGGGTTTCAAATTTGAAAACAATGTACTGAAATTTCAGGAAAAGTTATGTGTACCGAGTGATTCTGAACTGAAAAGAAGAATTTTGCAAGAGGGCCACAATTCAAAATTGTCTATCCATCCAGGAAATACGAAAATGTACCAAGACTTGAAACTGAATTTATGGTGGCCGGGAATGAAGAAAGAGATTGCTGACTTTGTGTCGAAATGTCTTCATTACCAACAAGTTAAAGCCGAACATCAACAACCCACAGGCTTACTGCAACCCTTACCGATACCGGAGTGGAAATGTGAACATATCACTATGGATTTTATTGTTGGTTTACCTCGCTCCAGTAAAGGTATGGACTCAATTTGGGTTATTGTTGATAGACTGACTAAATTTGCTCACTTCTTACCTGTCAAAACAATTTATAATGCGGACAAATTGGCTATACTCTATATTGATGAGATTGTTAGATTGCATGGAGTGCCTGTATCCATTGTTTCTGATAGAGACTCAAAGTTTACATCGAGATTCTGGCAAAGCCTACAGACAACATTGGATACTGAACTGAGACTGAGTAGTGCATACCATCCTCAAACAGATGGCCAGTCAGAAAGAACCATCCAGACTCTGAAGGATTTACTGAGAATGTGTGTCCTTGATTTTCAAGGAAATTGGGAAAGCCACTTACCGTTAGCCGAATTTGCCTACAATAACAGCTTTCACTCGAGTATTGGTATGGCGCCTTTCGAGGCTTTATATGACAGGAAATGTTGATCTCCTATCTGCTGGGCAAAAGTAGGAGATGGGCCTTTGTTTGGGCCCAAAATTGTACAGGAAACTACTGAAAAAGTGAAACTGATTCAACAGAGGCTGAAAATCGCACAAAGCCGACAGAAAAGTTATGCGGATGCTCGAAGGCGAGATAGAGAGTACGAAGTAGGTGATTATATTTTTGTTAAAGTGACACCAATGAAAAGGCAGACCCGTTTTGGGGTTAAAGGCAAGTTAGCGCCGAGATATGTCGGACCGTACGAAATTATTGAAAAGATTAATCCGGTGGCGTATCAAGTAGCGCTTCCTCCTGAAATGAAGCATATGCATAACGTGTTCCATATTTCAATGTTAAGGGATTACCTCCGGGATCCCTTCCATGTGATTGAGCCTACCCATGTAGTGCTAAGTGATGACTACACTTATGAAGAACGGCCTATTCAGATTGTAAACCGACGGATCAAGAAGTTAAGGAACAAAGAAATTCCGTTAGTGAAAGTTGATTGGCAAAACCATGGTAGCGTATATGCCACTTGGAAAAGGGAAGACGATATGATAAAGAGATATCCTGAACTGTTCCCTCTGGATCTGGTATTCTTCCAAAATGAAGGTAATTCGAGTTTGGAGGACCAAACTCTTTATAAAGAGGGGAGACTGTGACAACCCCCACCACTGTTTACTGATAATACCACTGATTACTACTAAACTGTGACTGAACATGATTAAGTAACTGATTTGACTGACATTCTGAACTGATTGATTGAGTGTATTAGTTTAATCACATTTCTATCTGTTTGACTGTTAATTGATCTGTTCATGTTTTAAGTGTCAAACTGTGAATTAAAGGCCTTATCGACAACCGAATTTGAAATAGATTAGTGTTTCATGTTAATTAGAATTTATGTGATTTTATGGTATTTTTAATTGAAATTTGATTTTGTATGATTAAATTAGATTAAATAGTATTGAATTACATTAGTTGCATTAATTACCAAAATGCCATCTAGTGGGCCACTTTTATTAACATCTTGAGGCTCAATTCATACACTTAGACATACCATTTCATCATCTCTTCCATTTCACTAGACCCAACCGAAAAAGAGAGAGAAAGATAGGTGACAACTTAAGTTCTTCAAAATTGGCTTGGACAATTAGAAGATTTGAAGGAAATTTGTATACTTGAGCTTCTATTCTTGAAATTGAAGACATAGGGTAGGATATTCATCTTCTTGATTATGAATTCTAGTTGTACCTTGCATGGTTAATGAGTCTTTAGTGATCTAAGTCAAGAATTGGTTCTAACATGTTGAATTAAGGCTTAATTCATGCATGCATGTACATGTTCTAGCATTTTGAGATTGTTTTCATGGAAATTGCTACATGTATGTCCATATCTTGATTATAGTTCATGAATTCATCATGTTTTTGGAAGTTTTGACTCATTTGATTATGTATTAGAAGCTTTGATTTCAATTGAACACTTGCATGTTACATATACATTATGTTCATGAAGTTTTGTGTGGATTTGTGTTTAATTGAACTACCTTTGAGTTTTGATTTTGCAAATTGATCTTTGAAACATGACATATTATAAGTTTTAAAGTGTTTTCCAGAAAATTAGCCCAAAAGGATCGAATTTGATGCTTTAAATGTTGAGTTTGATGCATAGAGACAAATCTGGAAATTCTAGATTTTGGATCCACGCTCGAGCGGGGAACTCCACGCTCGAGCGTACACTCTGAGTACATGCATCCCGCTTGAGCGGGGAAAGTAACGTTCGAGCGTGAAATGCATGTATCCAGTACTTTGCATGTGTTTACAGTCCGCTCGAGTGAGGGAATGCACGCTCGAGCGAGGACTTGTGTCTCATGCTCGAGCGGAGGTCGAGCGCCCATCGAGCGTGATTTTTGTGCATCCAGTACTTTTGCCTGAGTTTGCAATCCGCTCGAGCGGGAAAGTCACGCTTGAGCGAAGATCCTTTGTCTACATGTCCGCTCGAGCGTAGAAAGCCACGCTCGAGCGAGACCCCTGTTTTCTGAAAATTTTGAAAAGTGTTTTAAAGTACATCTTTGCATCCTCATTTCATCCTAGGCATTCCTAGGCCTAGTTTAAGGCATCTTAATGAGGTTATTGATGTAGAACCACATCGAGTCAAGATAGGGATTAAGTCATTGATTCCCAAGTGTGTAACTTAGTGTGTGTTCGTTCTGTAACTGTGTAGGATTGGCATCCGAGGACACTCACTAGCTGCCATTAGCCTAGTGCTCTGTGAGTAACAATGTTGTAAAGATATGTTCAATCATGAATATTTTCTAATGATCTGCTGTACCACTTTCTGAAATGATATTTCTTACTGAATGAATGATGTCCTATTGATGAACTGTACTCGTGGTATCCATAGCAACTTACTATTACTGTACTGTTACTGTACTGCTACTGTCACAGAAATCTCTGTCGGTTCCCATGTTTGGAACCACTACTATTTACTGTTATGATGGCCATCAACTGACTGTTCGGTCTGTTAAGACCTACTGTACTGTTTGCTATTGGATGTACCACTTATGACTGCTATGATCGAATAACTGATATACTGCTCAAATGACTATTTAATGACTGAAAGGACATTCATTCTTAACCTCTTTACACAACTGTTATTCACTGGGCTTTAGCTCACTGTTTATATATATATGTAGGTGTCCAGGCACCGGATCGAAGCTAGGAGCGTTGGGTTTAACTCCCTTTTTGTCAAGCCAACCACTGTGCCTCACTGAGAGGTTCCAAGTCCTTCAAGCTAGGGCTTTTTGGGGTGTTTTAGACGCATCCTTTCTGTCTCTATTTTTGTATAGATTGACTGTACCTGTACTGTACTGTTCTAATAGGGATTAGGTCCCTGTCCTGGATGATTGTATATGTATGTATATACTGTTTTGGTTCTGAATGTGAATATGTATAAAAAGTCTTTTTTGCATACAGACTGTCACAACTCATTGGACATCTTTTATTACTGTTTTGGCTTCCGCCAGCCCCTGTACTCTGTATTACTGTTATTATTGTTAAGCAGGCCTTTGGTAATCACGGATTGCTGGCCGGTTACGGTGCTAAACCCATAGGGGTGGGATTGAGTCGTGACACATATTGCCTAGTTAGGATTATGCATTTTTCTAACTTTATCATCTTTTTTTGGATTGGAGTACTAGGTAAGCCTTTACTCGCTTTAGTATATTGCATGAATGTGGTTGTTGCCATGTCTAACATGCTTGTCATGAGGCTAAATACTTAAATGATAAACTGCTTGAATGCCTGTGGATGAAGGCTAGTTGCTTGAATTGAAATAATTTGAATAATGTTGATATGCGATCATCTTTTCAAGTGGTACATATTCGAAACAATTTTCAAAACAAACATGAATCAAAGTGTTCCAATTCTTGCAAATTAGTCTATACTTATGTGTGTACGCGTCACATAGTAATGCTAGCCTAATAATTGGAACAAGAGTATATAATGCAGATAAGATTCACATCATGATTAATAGAGGCCGATCTTTGATCGGGCGAGTGAGGGTGCTCAATTCATGACATTCCCCTCTCGTACTTAAGTTCCCGAGCTGAGACAGTCTTGGTGATGACGGACACGTGGCCTTTGGCACGAATTATGGGTTTCCTAAATTTTTCAAAAATATTCAGGTGACGACTTTGTATTTGGAAAAGCAGTTTGTACTTGGCAAAGCAGTCCATTTTTGGCAATTTGATTCAAAATTAATTTTTTAAAAGATTTGTCGGATTTAGACTCTTTGGTGTTTATCTATTTTACATTGCACTTGTGAGATCAGATTCAGAACCGGGGAGTCTGATATTGTAGGGCTTATTCGTTTTTCGAAAAAGAGTGCGAAAAGTCAAGCTACAGTCACATCAAACCCATAGTCATTTCATTTTGAGTAATGATAGAGACCCAAAAAATTCTACCAAGGTTTTCATCAAATGTCTCACATGGGTGTAGAACTCACATGGCACAATGTGGGTCCCATGTAAGTCCCACACCCATGTGAGACAGTTGGTAGAATTTTTGGGGTCTCTAGCATTTTTGTTTCACTTTTTCTCTCACAAATAGGGATGGTCGCAAATCGGTTTTGGACGGTTCGGTTTGCGGTTTGAACCCGCCCGCATGTCTGTGGTTTGGAAAAAATTGAACCCGCAACCGCCTGCAGTGCGGGTTGCGGTTTATGCGGATATGGTTCGCGGATATGCGGGTGGTTGTGGGCGGTTTGCGAATTGAACTTTTTCATTTAAAAAGCAAAACTTTGGCCTTTTTTCCTCATTATTTTAGAACCAATAATTAATGTATTAAAATTTATAAAATTAAAAACACAACAAAATCAATTTCTAATACAAGCAAAACATTCAAAATCCTAAATTTTTAAGCCAATTCATAAACTAACATAAGCACATCATTCTTTACATTAGGAACCTATAGAAGAACCATTAACACATTCAATAATCTGTTCAACAGGCAGACATGAATTTTCTCTATAAAAAAACCTCATTATCTGCTCTTTACAACTTAAAACTTTTCTAGCAGTAGAATGTAAATGCTAGACAACTTCAAACTACTAATACTACTTGAGGTACAATAGAACATTATAGCATAAAAAGTTGAAAGAGTTAGCATTGCTTGTTTATTTTACCTTTGGTGTACCCAACGCCGATGCATTCCTTTTCTTTGATCGTTCCAAAGCTTTGATGGTCCGAATTTTTAAAATATATATATATATAGATGCAGGCGGGTGAGTGCGGATGCGGATAAAACCCGCAACCTGTAAAATAGGAAAAATCCTAAACCATATCCGACCCTAACAATTTTGCGAAACCGCCTAAATAGGTACGGGCGGTTCGGATTGAGCGGTTTTCGCAAGTTAGATAACCCTATGCCTAACCCTATTCACAAATATCACATATAACTATAAAAAATCTAACCATCTTCCTAAATATAAAAATTTTAAATTACTAAAATAATCAAAAATTAAAATAACTTACTAAAATAATAAACTTTCCAAACGATGCCTTATTCTAGAATGACCCCTGTGTTTATTACATTTTGGACGTTTTCGTCTTTAATACTTTAGAGAAAAAGAAATAAATGAAAGTTTAAAAGTACCTCTCCATTTCGCAACTTTTAAGAAACTTAAAAAAAATGGTACTATAATTTTACATAAAATGTGTGTTAAAAAAAGTATAATTTTTTAAGGTTATTTTGACATGTGCAATAAGAGGGAAATTTTATAATACCAAAAAAAATAAAAAAATAAAAAAATAAAAGAAATGATATACCATATTTCATATGTCCATCACTACAACAAATTAATGTCATTTTTCAAAGATGAAATTTTTTAATTGTCAAAAATACCATTAAAAAATTCTGTAGTTATTTTTTTCACAATATTTATTTGTTAACTCCAGAGCTTACTTTTTTTTTTTTTTTTTTGTAACTAAGTCAAGAGACTGCTTTGAGTTTAAAAACTCAAGGTGAGTTTCATTTTGGGAAAAAAAAAAAAAAAAAAAGTGGTTGATGAAAGTGTTAGAGGTGCTAGCGAGAGATGGTTGCCGGATATGTGAAGTGATGGTTGAAAGTAGTTGTCAATTGCCAAAATGGTCAAAAATGGTGATAAGTCAGTCGCCTAAGGTGGTATCCAAAGGTGATTACCACTTGTAGAAGTTGGTTGGGGTCGACAAGAGGTAAGCTAACAGATGAAGTCATCGATAATGGGTGGCGATGAGCAACGGGCGGTCATTAGAAAGCGTGAGAAAACAGAGGGAAAAAAAAAATTAATAACAATAGTAAACGGAAAAAATATATATTAAACAGGTGTAGACCAAATTTTTTGTGTTTATGAAATTTGAAAACAAAATTAGAAATCAAATGAATTTTTTTTAACAGTTTCTAAAAATTCAATTAATATAAAAGCCTTTGAATCTTCTCTTTTTGAATTAAACTGATAGAAAAATAGATTGCTTGATTGATTCTATACAATATAATAATTGTGCAGAAACTAAACAAGTCCTCAATGGATTCCATTACCAATCTACTGCTCTCATCTTTTCTCTGTTCCATCTTAGTAGTCTCCACCACTGCAGTGAACACAATATCCACAACTCAATCCATTAAAGATGGTGACACAATAGTCTCCATTGGAGGAAGCTTCGCGCTCGGGTTTTTCAGCCCTGGAAGTTCCAAAAAGCGATACATTGGTATATGGTACAACAAGATATCTAATGATTCCAGGACTGTTGTATGGGTTGCCAACAGAGAAACTCCGGTCACCGATTCGTCGGGCGTGTTAATGGTTACCCAACAAGGCGTTCTCGTCCTCCTCAATAGTACGGAAAGTATTATTTTGTCTTCCAATTTGACAAAACCGGGAAAAACCCCAGTTGCAGAGCTCCTAGATTCAGGGAATTTTGTTCTGAGAAATGCTGATGATGATAACCCGCAGAATTATTTATGGCAGAGTTTTGACCATCCAACTGACACGTTTTTACCTGGTATGAAGTTTGGAATCAACTACAAAACTGGGCTTGATATGATCCTGCGGTCGTGGCAGAGCAGTGATGATCCCGCTCAAGGAGATTATACATACAGTATGGATTCTCATGGATTTCCACAGTATTTTCTCAGAAAGGACACTGTCAAGGTGTTTCGATCAGGGCCATGGAATGGTGTCCGGTTCAGTGGAATGCCTACTATATCTTCAAACCCCATTTACAATTTCACTTTTGTGTTGAATCAGAATGAGACTTATTTCAATTATGATCTTCTCAATAGCTCAGTTGTCACAAGAATGGTGATGAATCAGGATGGTGTTCTAAGGCGCATGA